AGAGCATACTTTCAATTATAAAGCAATAATGGCTTTATTATGAATTAATAAAGTAAAAATTTCAAAACAAAGTTTGAAATATTATTATAAACACATTTATTTTTTACATCAATTTTTTTAAAATTAATTTTTAGAAAGTTAACTATATAATAATGAGTTTTGTTAATTTCAATTTTTAAGACTGAGCTTAAGTATTTATAAATAAAAAAATTTATTAAAAAAATATATTTATTATTTTAAAATTATAAAAATATAATAAATATTTTTTAAAAAAAATTTATTATTTATAAATATTTAAATTCAACTTTAAAGACTAAAATTAATAAAATTCTATTATAATTACTAATATTTTCTATGGTTTGACCGAAGGGTTAAAAGCACCTTGGAAACCGAAGCAGAAAAGGCAGAGACCAATGGTCTGAAGTAAAGCTGATTTAAAATATTTCTCTTAAAAGCTTCTTTTCACAAACACTATAATTCCTGCAAACAAAATATTATATATATCAAACAATCAAAACGCTGCGTATTAAAAATGACCTAGCAACTCACGATATGCTTAAATTGAGCATAGTGCATGCATACATCCTCATGAATTGTACAATAACGTTCTTCTCGCATGTGATGAAAAGAGCTAAGCACACATGATAGGTGTTGATGATGGAGACGATCATCATTTTGAAACCATTTATTTTATCAGAATAAAGAAGTCAAAAAACGAGAGAATAGCAGTGGGTAAAGTTGATGGAGGGACTTGACATGTTTTCAGGCACGGTTGCTTTACAGCATATAGTTGGCTAGTATCCAGCACAAGTTTTCTAATTTATTTTAAATTAATAAATTATTTTATTTTATAAAATTAAAAAGTAATTATTTTAAAATAAACTAAACCAAACTTTTATCAAGAATTGAGTCCACTTGACAAAATCCACTTTATAATTAAAGAACGAAGAAATAACTAAAAAATCCTCTTGATTCTTACAAAAGTATAATGAATAAACCCTTTAGTTAGTCTTTTAGATTATACAGTTATATCTTAATTTTATATATAAAAAATTATTTATTTTTTATTATCGTTTTATACTTAAAAAATGTTAAAATAAACGTTGTTTTATAAAATTAAAAATTAGCAAATCATACGTGTTATGATGAAAAACCTATAACATCTACCTAGCTAATAGGATTTCTGCATTTAGACAACAGAAAAGAAAGCTTGTGATTTAGTATTAATTAAATCACTGGTACACATGATACACAAACTAAAATAACGCATAATCGTAGGAACTCATGGACTCCATATTTGCCGTAGGAAGTGTATAATCAATGAATTGGTCTAATGTGTACCCTATAAACTAAAACTTTTTACCAACATTAAGACATTATTGCCGATTTGATTCTTCAAATATTAAGACATTATTGCCTAGTTTTTTTAAAAAAAATTATTGTTAGTCAAGCAAATAAAAAACATAAATAAGGTCTTGATATTTTAAAATTCATATTTTTTTTTAATTTTCAATCAAATTCCTTAAAAAATATTTTTATTTTTAGTTGATCCTTTTATCAGTAATTTGTTAATTAATTAATTTTATTATTCATTTACATAACATTGGACTTGACTTATATAAAATTTAATTAAGACATAATATAAATAAAATGTATCATTAATAACATTACATCTTTCGTATTTTAATAAAAATTGTAGACCTCTCTATCATATTATATAAGTAAAATTAGACGTTACATAAATATAGATTAGAAAAAAAAAATTAATTATACTAATAAAAGAACCATATAAGAAAATAATTTTTACAGAACTTGTTTGGAAAAATTAAAAATAATAGATCAAATGAAAAAATAAAAAAAAATTTAGACCAAAATTTTATTTAAGCCATAAAAAAATCTTTATAAAATTTGTTTGTGTCACTATTTTAATCTATTGTAAAGTAAAACGAAATGGTATTTTATGTTTTCTCAAAAATTAACTTGGATTAATAAATTCTAAAAATAATATCTAATATACTAATATTTGAAGATCAAGTAGAGTGTTAACTAAGGAGGGGGAGTACTAGATGGTTTTGGGAACCAAAGCTAACTGAAGATCACAAAACAAAAGCTGATTTCGATTGTGTGGCACATAGAATTTGATGGGTAATAGGTTGTTGGGTAAGATTTGGACGAGTTTTGACTGAAGGAAACACCAAGATAGAAGACAATCAAAGTGTTTTCGTAGATTTTTCTAATGAACAACCTATTGCAAGCGTCAGCTACCATTAGAACCAAATTTGATCGTCACATTGCAACTAGATAGCATCATGACTCTGCTCGATTAAGACCATTAGTTATTATCAAATAGAATGTTAACAGGTGTTTTGTAATATAATTTTTGCTACCGGTTTTGTATTAAATTGAACTCCGTAAAATGAAATGAAAATTGCAGGCAGTGTTTGTGCTTCACATAAAGGATCTAAGCACGTACGTATAAATCAAAACAATGACTACACATCCGACGTAAAATGTAAATAAAATAACTATTATGGTTAAACGGGTAAACTATCTATCTGTATAATTTACTAAATCTAAGCCACATATAAGGAAGTTTTTCTAAGAATTTTTAAAAATAATAAATTTTATAATATTCTTTAGTTTTAATTTTTTTAATAATAAATGAGTAAATTAGTTTAATTGTATTAATTCCTTTAATTACTAATTGACAACAAATTTAAAATTTTTATAATAGAAATTTCTCTTTTCACCTCAAACAAAATATGGTCAAGATTTTAATAAATATTTTAAAAATAATTATTCAGAGAAATTATGGAATAATAGTTAATATTTTTTTGAAAACTTTTTAATAATAATTTTTTTTTGAATTAGAGATATAATAAAATAATTTAAATAAAAAATAAAAAATAATTAAAATAAATATTAAATCATGTTTTATATTATATATTTCCTAATCAAGTTTAATACGAAAGATTTTTTTTTTTATAATTACTCTAACAGTGCATAATTAAAAATAAAATTAAATCAAATCAAATAACTTAAACAAAAATAATAATATCTACTAATTATTATAGTACACCTTATAATTATTTTTGAAAACTTTTTAATAATAAAAAATTTTCAAATTAGAGATGCAATAAAATAAAAAATAATTGTCTAGGAAAATTATGAAGTAATAGTTAGTATTTCTTTTTGAAAACTTTCTAATAATAAAAAAACTTCAAATTAGATATACAATAAAATAATTGAAATAAAAAACAATAAATTATTTGAACTAAATATTAAATTATATATTTCCTAATTAGATTTAGTACGAGAGAATTTTTTTCTTATAATTACTCTAAAAATGTATAATTAAAAATAAAATAAAATAAAAATAGAATACCTTAAATAAGAATAATAATATTTACTATATTTTAAAAATAATTGTCTATAATTTTAAAAATATTTTCTAGAATTATTCTCAACTAATAATTTAATTTGTACAATTTGTTATTAAAGGACTATCATTCATGCAAAATAATATGTTTATATTTGATGGATAATCACTGTAAACCTTCTTCACAGCTTTATGTGAATTTAAGAAGTTTGTTCAATTATTAAAGTAATTATAAGAAAAAATTATCTTGTATTAAGCCTGATTAAGAAGCATATAATATAAAATATAATTTAATATTTAGTTTAAATTATTTATTATTTTTATTTAAATTGTTTTATTATATTTATAATTTAAATATTTTTTTATTATTAGAAATTTTTTAAAAAGAATTATAAGATATACTATAATAATTAGTAAATATTATTATTCTTGTTTAAGATATTTTATTTTTATTTTATTTTATTTTAAATTTTATTTTTAATTATGCACCATTAGAGTAATTATAGAAAAAAATTTCTCATATTAAGTCTAATCAAGGAAGCATATAATATAAAATATAATTTAATATTAGTTCAAATTATTTATTATTTTTTATTTAAATTATTTTATTATATCTCTAATTAAAAAAAATTTATTATTAAAATTTTTTTAAAAGAAATTATAAGATATACTATAATAATTAGTAAATATTATTATTTTTATTTAAGATATTTTATTTTATTTTTATTATATACTGTTAGAGTAATTATAAAAAAAATTTCTGTTCTAAGTCTGATTAAAAAGTATACAATATAAAATATGACTAAATATTTAGTTTAAACTATTTATTATTTTTTATTTAAATTATTTTATTATATCTTTAATTTAAAAAATTATTTATTATTAAAATTTTTTTAAAAAGAAATATTAATTATTACTTTATAATTTCTTTGGATAATTATTTTTAAATTATTCATTGAAACCTTGATCATATTTTGATTAACTGTTTAAGGTGAAAAGAAAAATTTCTATTATGAAAATTTTAAATTTTTTATCAATTAGTAATTAGAAAAATTAATACAATTAAACTAATTTTCTCATTTATTATTAAAAAATTAAAATTAAAAGATATTGTAGAATTTATTATTTTAAAAAACTTTTAAAAAAATCTCTTCGTGCCTTGTGTGCAGAGATAGATTAGGTTTAGTATATTATATATAGATAGATTATATAGATTACAAACTATGAATTATTAAATTTTTAATATATTTTATAAGATATATAATAAAAATTTATATTAAAAATTATAGAATATCTCATTTATTATTTGGACTTTTAAATTAACATTAAAAAATCGATAAATTATAAATGACAAACAGATATGGCCTCCATTGTTTCATTTTGAATATTTTTAACAATGTTTTATTTCCAAGTTTCATTTTCATCTGAAAGATTACTGATGTGTTTTTTTTTGTGTCAACAAAGATTGCTAAAGCTTAAATGAAATTGGTATTGGGCTTTTAGGCCCAAATGGTATATAGTTCAGTGTCATCGACATTTCTTGGTATAAAACTCATAATATTTATTGACCAAAAACGTAAAAAAAAAATAATAATAAAACTCATAATTTTGAATTACCATGACGCCACGGTAGCAGATAACAAGTTGCTCCTTGGATAAGGCTTTTGTTTCTTCTTTGGTGGAACTGAGAAACTTTGCATTTTCTGAAAACCTTGTAACAATGGCTTCCTCCGTTACCTCTTCTTTCCATATCAGGTCAACACCCTAACTTTCTCTCTTCCACTTCTTTGCTTCAATTATGCTACCTCACTTTCTTCTTTCCCTGTGTTACATTGCACTTCACCGTTGCTCAATTATGGTTACATGGTTGTAAGGTGTTGCATCACGATGAAAGAAAAAACACCCATTACGGGATTTAGCTCCTATTTGAAGAAACATCACACAAACTCCCAAACTTTGACGAAATCCAATAATACTGTGAACTCTCTGTCTGTTTCAACATGTGAATTACTTTCTTCTAAATCATAATTGGGTCTAAAGGATTATATGCTGGCTCAAATAATTTGTGTGTCTTCAATTGTATCTGATAGTTAAGATGACTTGCTTGTAGATAATGATAATCTTGTGTTTCTTGCTGGGAGCAAATAGAGGAAGCAGTGGAACTTTCTCAGTCAGTTTACCAACGAAATTGATGATGTAGCGAGGATATTTGATGAAATGCTTGTTAGTAGCATTGTTAATGTTTGAAGAATAATAACTCTGAATCTGTTTTCCATATTGCAAGCGACATGTTCAGGCTTGCAGAGAAGTTCAATGAGCATACTTGGGGAATATATTCATGGGTTTAAAATGAAATAAAAAAGGGCTTTGGGATACCATTGTTTGTGGCTAATTCATTGGTTGCTTTAATACGAACATCTTAATGTGAGTTGCGTGTTATGTTCTAGGAGGACGTTTCACTTTACTTTCTCAAATTGTATTTTAACATTGACCACAAGGATTAGGAGGGGTAGACAGCTTCTAAATCTATTTCAAACGCTCTTGGCTTTGGTTTTTCTCTGTCCTTTTAATGTGATCATAATATGTTTGATACTTGGTATAATTTCTTAGTTGGTGGAAAGCTCGTTAATTCAAAGCAAATATTCTGTAGATTTGAGAAATCTCATTAGTTGTTTGCTTTCCTATTTCAGTAATTTGAAGTCTGTCTTCTGGGGTGAGACTAATAGGCTCAGAGTTTCTAGTATTCCTGCTTCCAATGTTGGTTTTGTTAGAAAGACTACAGAATCTAAGGAATCAAGAATTGGAAAGCAACCAATTGTTGTGCCATCCAATGTTACAATCAAATTGGAAGGACAGGATATACAAGTGAAAGGTCCTCTTGGAGAACTTGGATTAAAATATCCTCGAGAAGTGATAGTTGAGAGGCAAGAGTCAGGGACTCTAAGGGTTAGAAAAGCAGTTGAAACCAGAAGGGCCAATCAAATGCATGGGCTTTTTAGGTACTTCATTTTACTGAATTTTTTTAGATTAGGTTTATTTTCATTTCAATACATGCTATTGCCTTCACCTATGTTTTGTTTGTTCAAAATTATTTTCATAACGGACTGAAAAGAAATTGGACGAAAACATTTTATTTGATTATAGGAAACAAGAGATGTTGTTAATGTTTGTGGCATAATGATAGTTGTTAATGTATAACCTCTTATTCATTGGTTGGTGTTTCTTTCCCATTAGTCATGACAATATTATTTGACATAGATGTTAGCCATTATCATTAAAAGTTGCTTAAGAGTTAAGACAGTAAAACAGTGATGTTGAATTGAATGAGCCCGTAAATTGGGTATGTTATTTTTAAATCATGATAATTTAGTGGTTTATGATAATTATATTATTTATGGATTTTGTGATCTTGATTCTATCTTTGATAACTTGTTTTTATGAAACTATTAGCTGATTAGATTTTTGTATTACGAGAGTGAGTCTTGGCACAGTGGTAATGTTATTTCCTTGTCTCTTAGAAGTCACAGATTCAAATCCTAAAAATAGCCTCTCTGATTGTGGAGTTAGGCAGCATAGATCTACCCTCCCCAAACCCACTAGGTGGGAGCTTCATGCACTGAGTCGCCCTTTTATCTGAGTTTTATTACATGTGAATTATAAATACCTCTTCGGGCACCTAAGTTATTCAGTTTTGATACTGATTTAAAAGGAATATTCTGTTTAGAATCCCAAGTGTTATGCTTTTGAATTCAGAGAATTCTTCATTATTGGAACCCTGACATTGTGTTTGGATGGAGAATTTCAAAATTCTTGAAAATATGAAATAAATAATGAGAGAATGTTTAAAGTGATAGTCAAGTATGAGAAGAACTATGAATGATAAATATAAAAGGTTAAGAACAGTAGAGAGATTTTTAAATTCTCTCTTAAGAAAGTCATTTAAACTTCTTTTTATTTTACATAAAAGATATCTATTTAAAATTTTGCAGTATTTTAAAAATACTTTTTCTTATTATCAAAATTCATACAATGTAGGAATTTTAAATTACTTTATCCAAACACAACATGAGAGTTCTTGTTCTCATTCTTTTCCTAGTCCTTAACACAAGAAGCAGTCATTACGAGCTTTTCCCAAAAACAAAAAAAGAAATGAAAGTAACTAATCCTATTTTGGGATAAGCTTCCATTAATTTCTTAATGAAGACTTCCATTTTCATGGTCCCCTTGCTCTTTTCCCTCCCTTTCTTGGCATGTATGTATTTTGATGAAAAACTTGTGTGCTTTTTGCTGCTTTTCAAACCTGCAGTGAGAACATTGATCTCGCTTTCAGTACTTTACAATGAACTCTTGCTATTTTCAGAGATTGATCATTGTTATTGAGCTTGAGATATAGTAGTATCCCAAAGGGTTTAAAATAGACTTATGCCTGAATTTGTGAATAGCCTCTAAACTATCCACATTTTATAGATACTCTTCATTCACTTTTTGTTTGTTGGTGGGGAATTGAACTCTTGGTATCGCTTCCTTGACATAATGCTGTTATTATTGTTAGTATTGTTATTGTTATCATCATCATTCCATTTCATGTATGAAGGTTTTTCATGTATGAGTAGAATCATTGAGCAGTGCATCACAATTTGGATTCATAAAAGTATCAATTCTAATTATGTTTCAATTGTATTCTTGCTTGAGTCTTATGTGGTTTGCAAATCAATGCCATTAGGACGCTTACAGACAACCTGGTGGTTGGAGTATCTAAAGGTTTTGAAAAGAAACTTCAACTTGTTGGTGTGGGGTATCGTGCCATGGTAGAAGGAAACGAAATAGTGTTGAATCTTGGATTTTCTCATCCTGTTAAGATGACAATTCCTGATGGCCTCAAAGTGAAGGTGGAAGAAAACACAAGAATCACAGTTAGTGGTTATGACAAGTCTGAGATTGGCCAATTTGCTGCTTCTATTAGGAATTGGAGACCTCCAGAACCATACAAAGGTAAGGGTGTCAAATATGCTGATGAAGTTGTAAGGAGAAAGGAAGGAAAAGCAGGGAAAAAGAAGTAATGGGGGGGTTTCAATTTTCCCTTTTCATTTATCTCCTGTTGTTTTTCCTCATTTGTTAGTAATGGAAATATTAAATATACCGAGTAAAAGAAATTCTTTTCATTGAGATAAGCTAGAATCACTTATGCTTGTGATATTTAAAAGCATAGCAATCAATAGCTGTCATTATAGTGTGAGCATGATAATAACTTGTTGATGGATAATCTATCGTGTGTGCGCTTTTAAGCCTATTCCTTTTGGTTATCTTGATATAAGTTTCAACAAGAAGCATGCGCTGAGGTTGGCTCATCATTTCAGAAATTTAGGGTGCGTTTGTCCACCTGTATAATAACTATCTCTATTGATAAACAAAAAGTTGAAGTGCCTTAAAAAGTAGCTTCACTTGGCTGGCTGCTTTTCAGGCCTTTTATTTCTTCCTAGCTAGTTTTTGGTAGGGTACCTTTTTGTTTTTGTTTTTTTGGGTCCAAGGGTCTTTTTGCTTGAAAATGCATCATTTAGTTTCACGTTTAAATGTATATGAATTTTCGTTTGTTTTAGCATTTTCAATTGTAACTCTTACATTGAATTTACGTTTGCATATTTTTTAACCGGTTTTTAAATATAAATAGAATGGGTTAACTACGATTTGTTGATTAGTCTAATGCAACATTTCATACCTATTTAATAATAGTAATATTTAAGGTCTTTCTCGTTTATAATTTTGAAAGAGTTGGATTTTAAAAAATAACTTGTATTCAAGAATGATATTTAAAGTGAGTTTATAATTGAATTTGATATGAATAACAAAGTAAATCACTTTTAAAGTATAAATTTATACATGTTTTTCTAGGCTTTGTGCATTCCTTACTTAGAATTAATTCATACAGTGAAAGTTAAGAATTTCAACCTTTTTTTTTTCTTTCTGCAAAGTTAATTTTGAGAATTTTAAAAAAGAAACTAAATGTCGGTTGTCATGGTACAACTTCATTTGAAGTGCCACAATTCCATTCCAACACTAATATCATTGGACCATTCCAAATATCATCAAGGAGTAATTAAAAGAATAGTCAAGATTTAACGTCACAGGGTGTTAAACTTGAATGTTTATGCTTCTTAACAAATCTTTTCATAAAATACAAAATTGTTTGTAGGTATGTTATTTAAAATTTAATATTTACGTATATTTTAAAAATATATTATCTGTTGAAAAAAAGTAATACAAACCTATTCATTTTATTTTGTATAAATTCTAATAACGATCTAGTGGATACAAATATTCAATGCAAGAGTTGAATTGATTAATTTTATATTTAATGAAAAGTTATGAAAAGATGTAAACGTTGAAGTTTAACGTATGTTATTAGCAAATCTTAACTCTCGAAAAAATATTTTTGTTCTTTGTTGTGAAATATCGAAAAATTTAAAAGTTGTGTTTAAGTATTATGAATTTTTAAGTAAAAATTTTGCAAACTTGATTTTAGATTAATTTCAATTAAAGGTAGGTTTAGAGTAAAGTAATTTATGATTAGAAATTTCTCTAAAGAAAATTTACAGTCAAATTTAATATAAACTTTTTAACTCTAAAAATTACAATTGTTTACGTCCACTCAGATGTGATTTTACAAACAAATTTTTTTTTTTACTAAAAAGCATCAAATAGATTAAAAGTGAACAAACCTATATATTCAAAACTGTTTTTGTTTTTTTTGGCAAATAGATTGAAAACTGTTTAAGAGTCTCAAGTTCTTTATTTTTTCAGAAACATGGTTTACAAAAAGATTTGGATCTATTCATTATTTTATACCATGAAATAGATAAATATAAAAATAAATTTATGAAACACATACAAATAATAACAAATTTAATGTGTTTTCTCATAACATGTAAAAGAATATAAAAGAATTTCTTTTTGGTCCAAAAATATAAAAGAAATCAAATCCCTTACAAATCGCCATCAACTACTGTCTGACATCACACATGTAAGTGAAGTCCAATAAGGGATGCAAGACAAAACTCAAATCTTCGTACTCATAAATCTGGAAATTTCCAAAAACAATTATTACATAATTACACGACGTACCATTTTCGAAGATGATTTCTATATTTACAAATATGTTAAAAACGAAAAATTATTAGATGATTCGAAATATAATATCTTAACTATACTTTTTTAAGCATACAAATAATCTAAATAATTTTCGTTCTCTCTCAACAATAAAGCTATTTTTTTTTTAATCTTACAAATATAAAAAGTACTCAGTATCATGATTTATTATTTTAAATTTATCTATTAAGGTTTTTTCATATAATTTGCCAAGGTTAATTTAAAATAACTTATAATTAAATATTTTAATTGTTATCATTACAACCAAATGTTTATTACTTTTTTACATTAAATTCATATTTTCTACTTTATTGATTAGAAATTCAAACAGAATTGATAATATTTTTTAATTTTAAAATTTTATGTGCAATATAATGTTTTAATTGATAAGTTTCGAGGAGAAGAAGATTTAAAACCATTTGATATATTTAGTTCATAGTATTTGAAAATTTTAGACAAAATAGAACTGATGAAAATACCTAAATTATAATAATTTTAAAGTTTGAGCATTAGTCATAGAGAAAAGTTAAAAAAAATATGTAATTAAAATAGAGACGTTTAAAAGAGAGAAGAGTATTTTTGTTTAATATATTATATACAGAGAAGAGTATGTTTTAGTTCCATAAGCTTTTTAATATTTAAAGTAATATTTTAATTTCAAATTAGTTTTTTCAATTTATTAAATTAAAACATGTCACGTGACATGACGTAAGGGAGATAACGTAAATTATCATTGAGACGTTTAGCTAAAAAGTCTACAGTTTAAACCCAATCATTGTCCATATATAATCGTGCTTTTGAAGAAATGTTAAAATATTTTCAGTATTATACTTTTATTAATAGAAGAAATATAATAAAAATGTAGACAATACAAGATTGTGAAATTTGAACACAATACCTCCTATAAAATGATCAATAACATACATGTGAACTGTATCCATAACCTGTAAGTTTGATTATTCCTTGTTGATCAATTGGTAGATTTTCAGCCCAGTTTATTTAACAAAAGTAGTCAAGAATTGTGGGTGAAAATGAGATCAACGCTTGCAGAATTTGGGCAATTCTAAGATTGGGAAACGCTCTTAAAATATAACATATGTGTATTGAGTGATTCTTAACGTTACTCTTAAAGGGGTATAGAAAAATTGTCAGATTAAGGAAAATGGTGAAAGGAGGAATAGCTGGTTGACGCAATAACTAAATTCCCAATATCAGCAGAGTCCACTGCACCCCTGAGTTCTCCAACTTTTCCTACTTTTCCTAAATTGTGCCTTTCAAGTGTTCATTTCCAACGCTATCGTATCCAACACATGGAAATCCTCTCTCCTTGTCTCATCTTTCATTCAGTTTCATTGTTCGAATATTTTGAATTTATATATTATTATAGATTTTTTTTGTACTTTAAATGCTATAATTTTCAATATTTTTAAAACTTTTATCTTTTATATATAGATATTTTAAAAGTACTTCTTAAAATAGAAAAAATGTCTCACCTTAAATGTTAAGAAAAATCCTTTTAAACTTTTAACTCATTTGGCTTCATAATTCATTGCTCAAAATAAACAATAAAAAATAACCGCAAACTGAGACAAGAGTCATGCCGCTGTATACTCACGAGATTCAACGTTCAAAAGGTTTCCTCGTCTCCATTCTGCATTGACACTTGCCCCTTTTCTTTCTCTCTCTCTCTCTCTCTATCTCTATCTGTCTTTCCCTTTTTCATTTTCCATCTTTTTAAATCTATGATCTATGGACCCTTAATTTTTTGCAGTAAAGTTAGACATCTTTTTTAGATTCATAGCCTCATTCTTCTCAACACAACCAAAATTCACAGGTTCATTCTTATCTGTCTTTTGTGTTAGTAATTGTGATCTCTTCTATAATTAAGCATCATGCGCTCACCGGAATTCCTCTTTCTTCTTCTTCTTCAGCTACCATTGCTCAAAACAAAAACAAAAAACAGAACAAAGGGTGTTGAGGTCTTCGATTTTGCAACACAGAGACACATCCAATTGGCCAAAACTCACCGACCCAATTGAAGAACCATTCCAAAGTTTGCATCTTTGGGTCTTTTCATTCGCAAGAAGCTCAAAATCTTAAAAGGGTATGGGTGGAACGAGAAAAAATCATTAACAAAGTGATAGAAACAGAGCATGAGAGAGAACAACGTTGTGCTCGCGCAGGAGCAAGAGAATTACGGATCGGGGCTTTTTCGTCATTTCAAGGACGAAATCTTGAGGCCATTCATGAAATCGTTGTCGAGATCCACCGTGGTCCTAGTCTTCCCCGTCGTCCTCATCGTCGGCGCGTTGGTCTACACGCGCATGCTGGACACACATGTGAGTATTGTTCTTATGTTATCCCTTTGCCTCTAACGTTGATTGGCTCAATGTGTTTGCTACTTTTATCGTTGTTTGTTGCTTCTAGTTTGTTTTACATGTTATAGTTGTCTGAAACACACACACACACAAAGGGAATTCTCTTGGCCCATGGCATGCATGGTTGAAAAAACGACAATTAGCCCACTACTTGGTTGATGTGGCTGTAAATGCATGTCTCACATAACCTTTTTACCCATTAATTGTTCCCACGTTAAAATGGTAATTCGCTACGTATAAAGATATTAATTGCATATAGAATGTAGTGGCATATAAGTCCAATTATTTAACCACCTCAGTGTCTGGTTCTGGTCCATTCCTTAGAAGTTACATATATATAGGTTTAATGTGTAAAAAATGAACGAAATTCCAATAGGGTATTTTTAAGATTAATTTCGAAATCTTGATCTGTAAATAATGTTTCTAACCATTTTTGCCAATTTAATAATAACTAGTCTCTTTTTTAGGATTTTCCGTGGTTTATGATCACTCAATTTAGAAACACTAGGTTACACAAACATGTTTAAAATTTATAACATAATTATACATTAATTAAATATATTCAATAATATGAAATATGAAGATGACATGGTGACAGTTTCTGATAGATAAAAAGAGTTTACATGAACAAGGAATGTCGGCTATTTAGGTATAACTTAGTTGAAACAAAGACATAAATGTGGTAGGTTTAACTCACGCTACCAAAATTATAATAAAAAAAAAAAAAGGAAAAAAGAAACTTTCAGGGATACCTTATGGTTAGGGTTGCTCAATATCTCTCTCCACCAAACAATTTGACTCGAGTGGGAGATCATTGAATAAGGATTTGAATTTTGAAAATTAAACCTAATGTATTGAATTTGTGTCACATTCTGGTTGATTTACTAGCTTGATTAGATAACCCACAACATTTTAAAAGTATGTTCTTAATAATTCGTATTGAAATATATGACTTCTTGTTCTTGACTTAAATTAGTATTTTTATAATGTAATAATAGTTTTATATTAATATATTATTTTAAAATGACTATTGTAAGACACATCATATAGTTTTTATTTTTACAATTTAGACTTAATATACATTATATATTTAAAATTTACCTAACATAAATTACTCATGATCAAAATTTTAAAAATTATGTATATTATAAGAATTGATTTTGATTTGTTATTTTAAAAGTGATTGAACTGATTTGGTATTTGAGTTATTGAAATCATTTTTAAAAGAAATTAAAATATATACTATTGAATATTGCAAAAAATATATTTGATTATTAATTGAAGAGAAATAGGAAATTAAATAATTGAAAATGGTATAAGAAAACAAACAAGCACAGTCACATTATTGAAGGAAACATAACGTGGAGTTCATCTGTGTTTCCCCCTGTGGGTTCTGAGATAGGTAAAGGCAAAGAAAGCGATTGAATAAAATCATTCAAAGTATAATAATTGGAAAGCGATGCGTTTCATAAGAATTGAGAGAGCTAGATATTATTTGGACTCGACCGGTAGTGATATAATTTCTAATAAATGTTTTCTATCACATTTTTTTAATTAATAATAAAAGTATGTTAAAAATATATTCAAAGTTGCTAAAATATATTACTATTATTATTTTCGTTATTTGGATTAATAAAAATATGAATATTAAATTTTTAAAATAAAAAACAAATATATTTTTAATTTTTTTACCTATAAAATTTGATACAATTAGTAAATAATATGTCTCCTAAACATGTTAATACAGATTCAATTTTTGGTTTTATATATAAAAAATTCTGTTGAAAGTGACACTTTGTTTTAATAATCTTTACACATTGGAAAATTATAGTCTCCAACATGTTGGACTTCGATAAAAAAAAAAAACAAAGAAAGTAAAATTAATGATTTTTTAAATTTATTTTTAAATTTTATTCTCTATCTTTTTTTTTGGTTAATTCGTCTATTATAAGATTGTTAAATCTTTCTAGGATTTATTTTTTAATAATTATTAAAATTGATTAAAGAGTTCTTGTAAATACTACATTATGACTAACATATAAAAAACATAGGTCATTTTATTTTTGAACATTCGTTTTTTCTTTTAGTTATTATTAAAATTGATTGAAGAGTTGTTCTTAAATTATGAGATTTACCACCAATATATTAAATTTTAACATAATTTTATTAACTAAAATAAGATATTAAATTGGATGATTCTTCAGTAACAGCGGTAACAGCGGTAACAGCAACCAGCGCCGCGAGTGTCGGTTAACCGGACAGAGAAATTCGAAGGTTGTAAACAGGGACCAACTCTTGACTTTCAGAAATCCCGAATCTTCCAATTCTGCGACACCTGTTTCATGCACGTAAATTAATTTGGACCCATCACTTTGTCACACATTATTAAATTATTTTATTTGTGAATTAAATTATCCTATTTCAACGGCACTATTGCGAGGTTAGAATCCCACCGCACCCAGCTATTCTCATTTCTCCACCTTTCCTAACCTATTCAAAGCATTCAAGTAACTCTTACGCTTAGCTTCGCATCGATTCATGTTGTATACGCGTACTTTTTCTAGATCAACTCAAGTTACGTGCGTGATCCGTTGTTGTTTTAATATGATACTTTCTTTGACTACTAGTATTATTCTGCTGTTTTACTATTCAATTCTATATAGACAAAATAATTAACATGATAACATGTTGATTAGAGTTTAAATACTAAATGTTTTAGTTTTTTTTCAAGTAATTAATTTTATTGTAAAAGTAGTAACACTTAGAGCATTGGGAGGGGGAGGAGTGGGGCATGGCTCCTATGGATACAATGAAGCTCTGCTAATGGGATGCCCCTATCTATGTGAGGGAAAATTTTTAGTGATATATTTTGTAACATCTTTTTTTTTTATTTGATAAAATTTCAGAGTAACTCCACTAATAGGAAGTAGAGCTAGATTTTCTAATGAAATTAACATAAAATTTCACTCAATTAGAAATAAGTCAGTATAAAGAATATCGCATAATATGTATTGGCAATATTAAAAAATTTGGTATTACTAATAATGGTGTCCAAGAATTGCTCTACTCACATTCTATGTTGTTTGTGGTCATTTTGTGTTGCATGTAGCCGATTATTTCTGGAGCTTCATCTACCAAATCAACACTATCCACCAAAACATATGGCATTCGACCAAACGAACTCTTGAAGCAAATAGAGATCCCATTGAACTGCAATGCACACAATCTCACAGGAAAATGTCCCACCAACAAATATCCAACATTCTCAGATCAAGACCGTTTACAAAGTGCCACGTGTCCAGAATTCTTCCGTTGGATCCACGAGGACTTGAGGCCATGGAGCCACAAGGGCATAACAAGAGAGATGGTAGAGAAGGCAAAAGCAACTGCTAATTTCAAGTTAGTAATTTTGAAGGGTAAAGCTTATTTAGAGACATATGAAAAAGCTTTTCAAACGAGGGATGTTTTCACGTTGTGGGGGATTCTACAATTATTAAGGAAGTATCCTGGAATGGTGCCTGATTTAGAGCTCATGTTTGATTGTGTTGATTGGCCTGTAGTTTCAGCAGATGGGTCTAATGCTGAGGTTCCACCACCTCTCTTTCGTTATTGTGGCAATGATGCTACCTTAGATATTGTCTTCCCTGATTGGTCCTTCTGGGGATGGTAAGTCCATTTTACTTTTCTCTATTATTGCTCTTATTATTAGGTTGAACTATAATTCTAGTTTCAATCCCTAACTTGCATTGTTTTTAGTTCTTTCAGCATGTGAAAATCACAATAGTGTTGAGCTTATGACAAACCCGACAAATTTAGGTTTTAAACTTTTTCATACGCAGGCTCTCGCCATAAACTTCACATATAATACATTATTACACTGTTTTCTTACTGTAGTTTAAAATAAAGTTATGTGTTGTAGTAGAAAATTTATGTATAGAAAATAAAAACTGAATTGAAATAGTGATGGATAAGATGTAATATTATACATATATAAACAGATAATTAAGTAAAGTGATGTTTTAGTATGATCGTTATGGCCTGCGGTGACTTGGTATATAGTATATTATTTTGTGGAAGAGATTAAATTTATAAGTTTGGTTCCTTTTAATTTGTGAAAGATCAATTGGTTAAGAGTTTGATTGTCAATGATTCAAAATTGTGACCTTAAAAAAATGAAAAGAAAATAATATTGATGACATATTAATGTGTCTCTGGTTAGGCCTGAGGTAAATGTAAAGCCATGGGAGATTTTGTTGGGAGAGTTGAAAGAGGGTACTGCGAGGATACCATGGCTGAACAGAGAGCCTTATGCTTACTGGAAGGGTAATCCTGCTGTTGCTGAAACAAGACAAGATCTCATGAAATGCAATGTTTCTGACACACAAGATTGGAATGCTCGTTTATATGCCCAGGTATCAATCTTCTTAGCTTTGTTCTAAATATGTTTTGAAAATTTCCTTATTTTTGTGTAAGCTTTAAAGTTTGTGCATTTAAACTATTTATTGGCTTTCGCTTGTTAGTTTTGATCTTAGTTTGTGAGGGAGGATTTTGATCTTTTCAGGTGGTTTGAGTAACATGATATGATTATGTTTCAGAAAAATAAATTTTTTTATTAAATTAAATTAAATTAAATTAGTGGGTTCAATAACTAATCATGATAAATCTTTATTTGATAAAAATGTTTCTTTCTCTAAAAAAATCAGATTATGTTACTTAATAATATGAGATAATTCAAATTTTGATTATAAGCTACAAACTTGCCCAAATCCCCTTAACAATTTTTTTTAAAAAAATTATATAAGTAGATTGTAGTTTTTCTATATAATAGCCATGGTTTTCTCATCTGCTAATACAATTATAAAAAAAGTTATATAAATGATATTCTTAGAATAATGAAAATTACAGCAAGCCTCTTAACAAATGAAAACTTTGTTCCAGGATTGGGGACGAGAATCACAAGAGGGGTACAAGAAATCAGACTTGGCAAGCCAATGCACTCATAGGTATAGCATTCAAACTCTACATTCTATCTGGATCACGAAAGGGACAAAGTTTGAACTCTAGCTTGTTATATTTTTTTCTATAGTAATATATATTTTTTATATTGAATACGGTCCAATTTTAGTATGTTTCTAGATAAATATTTATAGAAGAAAATTGATATGAAAAATTAATAAAAATTTATGAAATAAATTGAAAATAACATATTTCTCAAATTTTAAAGAAATTAAAATTTAGATTTTTTTAAAAAAAAAGTTAATTTCAACTTATAAAATAAGTTAATTTATTTTAATATTTATTTATTTTTATCCCTTATAAATATAATGATGCGTGCAGATACAAGGTGTACATTGAAGGTTCTGCTTGGTCAGTCAGTGAAAAGTACATTTTGGCATGCGATTCTGTGACTTTATTAGTGAAACCCCATTACCATGATTTTTTCACAAGAGGATTAATTCCAGTGCACCACTATTGGCCCATTAAGGAAGATGACAAGTGCAAGTCCATTAAGTTTGCTGTGGATTGGGGAAACAGTCACAACCAAAGGGTAACCTTCAATGCTATAATATAATTCTTACAAAGCTTAATCTTCCATAGCATTAGTCAAAGATAATGGAAAATAGTTTAGAATTTTTACAAAATATTTTTAACCTATCTCAATAAATGTTTTAATATAATTCATCAGAATAAATTCTATTTAGCTTATTTTTAAAAATTATAATTAAATTCATGACATAAACTATTATATATAAAAAATTATTAAATAAGCACTTAATAAAACTGTATTTTCAAATGTACCCTTAGTAGTGAATTTTACAAGCACTTCATTTTCTTAAAATCTTTTAAGATATAATATGAAAACATTGTTCAAGAAGCATAGCATGTTTCATCCTTTACATAAACTGCATAATCCATATACTGTATGCTAAAATATGTGCATAGACAAAATGACAAACAAGAATTAATTACTTATGTCCACCCTTTTGGAGGAAAGAAATAAGTCAAATAACTTGCTAAATAGATTAACTTGATCTTGTTTCATTGCTGGTTTTGGAATCCATCAGGCACATAGTATTGGGAAGGCAGCAAGTAATTTCATTCAAGAAGAGTTAAAGATGGATTATGTGTATGACTACATGTTTCATCTCCTAAATTCTTATGCCAAACTCTTTACATACAAACCCTCTATTAGTGCTAATGCTACTGAACTATGTGTGGAGTCAATGGTTTGTGGAGCAGAAGGGGTAGAAAAGAAGTTTATGATGGAATCATTGGTGAAGGGTCCTTCAAACACCAATCCCTGCTCCATGCCTCCTCCTTATGACCCTCCATCTTTGCTTGCTCAATTAAAGAGAAAAGAAGTTTCAATTCAACAAGTTGAGTCATGGGAGAAAAGTTTCTGGGAGAGGCAAAATACGAAATCTTAATGTATATTTTTCCCTTATTCAAATGAGTCAATCATGGATTATTTTAGACCCCATCCACACACATATATATGTAGGGTTCTTTTTGGGAGATAAATAGATTACACCCTTATCTCATAGTTGGCTAAATAAACTGTATCATTTTTTTATGAATTATGGATTTTAGACTCTACGAGAAAAAATATTTGTTCTGTTAATTTTACAATGTTGAAGCTTGTTACCTTTGAAATGGGAATGCCACAACAAAAGAAATGTTGACCAATTACAATTATATTTAATTAAATCTAAACAAAAAATATATTAATAAAAAACACTAATTAAATTAACAATTTAGTTTCAGAAAACATTTTACTCATAATTTAGTTACAAAGTATTTTTATGCCTGTCCTAATAAAAGTTTGAAGTTGATAACAAGCTAACCCTTTTATTACCTAATTAAATAATAACTAAGATACAAATTTACGTACTGTGTGTGCATAAAAAAGGATCAGATTCTATAAGCCTAAATTATATATACTCTTACGTCATTTAATTCTAAAATCAATTATAAATTAAAAGTTTTAATTATATAAATTCTGCCTAGAATACTTTATTCACTGAGAGATTAGTTTTATAAAATTTTATATAAAAGTAAAATAAATAAATATTTTAACATATTGCTTTATTTTAACGTATAATATTTTTAAAAATATAATTAAATATTAAATTTTAGATAATATATCCCCAAAAATTATTAAAATATAAATTTTAATATATATAATTATAAAAATAATATAAAATAATTTAACAATTAAATTGTTCAATCTTATGTTTTATAAAAAAAAAAAAATAAGTTGTGTAGTTACTCAAATTTTACCAATGTCACCATCATTTGATGTACCAATTCACAAGTGTCGGATCATGATACTTTGTAAGGTTTTGATTACTGTTAATGCATAGGCGCAGCCATTAGTGAAAGCACAGGGAGAAAAACAACTAAATTTAATAATTTCAATCAGAACACACACTTTACTTCTCTTTGTTTTTTGGTCTGAACACTTTCCTTCAGTTTTGGGAAAGTGTTTTCTCAATATGGGCTTATGGACTACGACTGTTCGTGGATTTACTTCCATAATAGGAATCAATTAAAGATCTTAGTGTTATCTCAACTCTCTTATTTTAAGAGATTTTATTTTCCCACCTCTCATTTTTTTTTATTCGTATTTCCATGACTCTTTGTTTGTTATTTTTAGATACTAAATTGTGAAGTATTTTATAAACTATCTCTATAATTTAATTTTTGAAAGGGAGTTTAACACATTTTAAAAAGATAATTTATAAATGTTTTTAAATTAAAATTTTGAAAGTTTTCAAAATTAAAATTCTGAATAAAAGAAAGGAGAATATTAAATAAACAAAAAATATGGACTTACGGTCATATTAGGCCTAATATGTTTACGCACACATATATTGGAAAGACCTAATAAGGAGTTTTAATAATATAATTATAAATTTAATTTTGACATTTAATATTTCTTTTTTATTTTAGTCTCTGCATGATACTTTAATCCTTAATGGAAAACCATTTATAGATCACACTTTTTCGTTATCGAAGATATAATAGTATTAAATTTAATTTCTATATTTAACCTATTTAATTTCTATATTTAACTCCATTTTTTATTTAATACCTATACCTTTTAAACAAAAAATATACTTTATTTTACTCCATTTTAAAAAATATATTATTATCATTATAAATTCAATAACGGTACGTGGAGACCAATCTATAACTTTATTTTTTCACAAATGATATATTATCATGGAGTACGAGAAAAATTTGAATCTTGGCCTTTAAAAAAAATTGGACCCTGTAAATTAGATATCTCCTTTAAATTTAATTTTTTCCCCTCTTAGTGTTCTCTCTTTTTAACTTCGATTTTGAGTTGGATCGTTCATAACTCACACCAAAAAATATTAAGATTTCAATTTCCATTATGCAGTGACAAGTGATTATTACTTATTTGAGACAAAAGAAAGAGATTGTTAAATGTTGTGGGTGTAACAGTTGTATTAACTGTAAAGCTTTCAACCTGACATGTGGATGGGATAATAACTGGTAGCGTTTGAGCTAATTAAGATGATAAAAACTAAATTAAAAGCCATGTAATTGCAACCAAACTTTCTAACAATTTCTTTCCCTTATAAGATGCACCATTCTTTGCTGTAGCTTTTTCACCTGTCCCTTGGTTTTTACCATTCTGGGAACTACCTTCAGCTTAACACCAAAAAATAAATAAAAATCAGAGTTTTACTTTAATAATATGTGATAATATTAAAAGTAAATTATTTATTAAAATAAAACTCTATTTTTAGTTGGTAAAATGCGCTAATAATAACACATAACAAGCAGTACCTAAATTTTGTTCTATAAATAAATGTAAATTTCAATACTGCACCATTGAAACTCAAAAACCAAAGTGAAAAATAGAAACAAGAAGTGGATATTCTTCTTGAAAGGATGAAATACCAGAAGGACTGTGAGGACTGATAAGGCCACCATTGGTGTTCTGACCCATTTGATTAAAAGCTTGAGCTTCAGGTGATTTTGGATCCAAGTGGAGAAGTGCTGCGCAAATAATTTCAAATAGACATTCTTAAAATTAAAATCAGACCCCAAATTTTTTGAACTTTTAGACTTGAAAACTCAAAGATCATAGCTTCAGAAATAGACTAAAATTGGCAGATTTAGATACCCTTCTTATTTAAAACATGTTATTATTTCAAGTTATCAAGCGAAAAACAAAGGCTTGAAAATTTTAGTACAGGACTTTGTTGACCATTGCAGGAAATGAAACATGACCCTCTTGTGTTCTTTAATGAAACATGTTTGGAAAGAACGCTAAAACTTACCAGGACACTGAGAGACATTATCAGGTGCTTTGCAAAGAGAAGGAAGGCCAAGAGCATTAGTGATGTTAATTTTTAGGCCAAGGTCAGGGTCATCCCTATCCTTGAGAATAATGCATAAGCACTTCTTATTGTTCTTAATGGCTTGTATGAGACCATTGCAACAATCCGGCGTCGGCGATTTGGCGTCGCCACCCAAATATGGTAGACATGTTGAAACACCTGTGAGTTGTTCTACACAAATCTGTTTCTCTTGTGCAGAATCCCCCATTGCATGGCTGATCAATATCATTGCTATTAATAACAGTAGCATTTGTGTTAGCCTAGCACTGCGGTATTGGCCACAGAAAGCTCTTTTCTCAATGTTGATATATAGTGATGAATGAATGGAATGTATATAAGCTATGGAACCATATTTAGGAAGAGTAATTAATTATACAGAGTAGGGTAGAATGAGTAGAAACTATTAAGTTGTGGTGCTACGAATGAAATGTTTGTAACGTTGTACCATGATTTTATTTGAAGGTTATGTAATGTTCTGATTTAGAAAAAAACATGTTTGTATGTGAAAATGAAATTCTAACTTTCATTTCACTAAATTCGAATGGAAATACAGCCACCTGCTAAATGAAAACAGTGTTAAACTCAACAATTAATGACATAACCACCTGTTAAATCGATAATTAAATACAAATAACAAGGAACTATAGCAATGTTTTACTCTATTTTGGTATTGTATGTGGTTACTAACAAAGAAAGAGTCAAAGTAGTGCATACTGAAAAGTGGACTTCTTAAAGACAAAGGTTCTTCTTCCACAAACACTGGTTACTATCCCATCAACCCTCGCCACAAGGCGCACTTGTTGACTTGGTCTATTCAGTTGGTTGGGGAACGTTTTATAAATTTTATTTTGAGGGATGTTGATTTCGTAAAATTATTTTCTTTTTGTTAAAACAGAATTTGAAGTGAAATTAAAAACTTGGCTTAATTGTATTCTTTATTTTGGATAATTTATAATTTTAGTCTTTTAAGATTTTTTTAGCTAATTTAATCTTTTATTGATTTTCTTTTATCTAAAATTTGACTTACTAAATTCTGTCTTCTGGCTATTTTGAAGTAACGTAAAAGGATTTTTTTTTTTTTATTGTATCGACGTAAATTGATGCAATTTTCTAAATTGGGTTTAATTTTTAATTTTTTTTCAAAAATATAGTAAATTTTATCTCTTATATATTACTATTTTTTTTATTTAATTAAAAAAATAAAACTTGTAAACCACAATTACGTTTTATAATAAAAACTAATAAGTCATATAGTTCATCTTTAACTTTCAATATTTTTTTAATAAAATATAAGTTATCACAAAAAGTATAATTTTTTATATTGATAAATTTAGTATTTTTATTTTTCAATTTAAATAAATTTTAATTTTATTCTCTAACTTTATAATTTATTTTCATCTTCTAATATTTAAAAATGTTTTAAATATATTATTTTTATTAAAAACACCACCTCTATTAGAATATTTTATTTTATTTTTGTTACATATTCTATTTATGTATTGTTTATTTTTTTTCACATATTTCTAATTTTAGCTTTTTTTTCTTTATCTTTTTATTTTTTTTCTTCCTTTTCCTTTTTTCTTCTTTAAAATCCCATACAATGAAAAGAAGATGTTGCCACCTATTACTTACTACCTACCTAATAGATTTTCATCGCTCATCACCACTTATCACATCTCTTTTAGAAAGCCTTTAAATTTCACTCTATACTGAACTTTCAATATTTCAACTCATTAAACTCATCACTTATTAGCAATTTCTCACCTTCATTGTGGCCAACAAGGTGTTGCCTTTATCTTTGAGTGTTAACAATATTATCACTCAATTGTGTGTAGTTTTAAAGAGACAAAAGAGAGAAAGAAGATGACGAAAAAAATGAATAAAAAGATGAAGACAAAAAAGGAAAAAAAAAAAGAGAGGAAAAGGATAATGTGAGGAAGGAAAGCTGAAATAAAATATTTCACAAAAAAAATGAAGTGTAAAAACAATATATAATACTAAATCCAAATTATTATTTTGTTTGAATTTACTTTTACCACGTCAATGCTAAATAGGTGTGATACAATTTATTTTGAAACGTGTATCAGTTCCTACAAAGGCAATACTTATTTTACTTAGTACATATATTAGAAGTTGGATAAGTATTACCCCTATAGGAAGTGACAGTAAAAATTTTAATTTTATATTTTAAACAACAGATAACTAGGAAAAAAATAATTTAGTATTGATTCATTGAATAGGTTATTATTTCACTTTTCATATTTTTTTTTATGAAACATTATAACTAAATTGACCAATGATTCTTTGTTGAATTAATAAAATTGACACTAATTGTTCTTGTTTAACCCACTAACAAGTAAGGAATCAAATTTTGTTAGATGTTGCAACACTACTCATTATGTTGTATTTTTAAAATTACTTAGTAGAATTTAAATATCACATGCCTAGAATGCATGTGTAAATAAATTTTGAATCCAACTTCTAGTAATCTTGAGAAATAATTGAATTTACACATGTATGCATACCATCTCATCTTATAATTTTCCATTTGTTAAAATTTTTTTAGCAATGTTGTTTCTCTCTTCAAGATCATTCATATTTATGTTTCAGACACTTGAAATGCGATTTCATTGATTTTGACTCAATCACAAATAACTTTGACGTCTTTCTTATAACAAAATGTTTCATAACCATCTTAATATCCTCTTTAGAGTCAAACAATTGTCAAATATATAATACATATCCTTTCTTATATGAATTACTGTAAAGTAAATCTAAATTTTTTATTTCTTAATTATGATGTTCTCAATTAATATAACTATTATGTAAACTTACATTCTAAAAAATGAAGTTTCAACATCAATTGCACTATAATTATGTGAGTATAATTAGTATTATTTATCATAATGTTAATAAATAAATACATTAAAATATTAAAAAGACATTCATACCTCTTCATTCTTGTTCATTTTTCAGTATATTCAAAATGAAATAAAAAATGTTACCCTCCAAATCAATATAATATAAGAAGAATTATCTAACAAAATTCCTCCTTTATCTTGATTTTCATTACTATCACTTCTTGAATTTATATATTTTTCATCATGCAAACATATATTTTACACAATTGTATAAGAATATTAATCAACCAAACAAGAATTATACTTGTTCGAACTGCACATTGATCCTTATCACTAACATTATCACATGCAAGTGATAAATTTAAATCAATTGATTATGATGAAACAAAAAATGTCTCACCAAAGACAACATCAATATATAATTCAACTGCAATTTTTTGATTGTGTTGTTGACTTGCATTATCATGCAATCGATATCTTTATTATCATATATAACCAAAATTGTGTCCTGTTGAATACTTGCATCAATCAAAAATTGTGAAATCTATCCACAAATAGCATGACTAGCATATCAATTTAAGTTTTACATGAATTTTTATTTTTAAAATGTCTAAAATTATTTTACGTTTTATCTTAATCATTTTTTGTGGTCTTTAAAAGTAACAGTTCATTTCTTTTATAAATTTTACCATTCTAATATACATCATGCATTTACAAGAATAAATTTATATAAATCAAATTAATGAATATAACAACAAAATAATTAATTCAACACCAACTCTTTATTTTTTAATTAATACATTTATAAAAATTACATTACTAATTTCAATAATATAATTAATTCAATTAAAAATATTTAATTTACTAACCTAATATTGTTTCAAAGTGCATGACTCAGTGAGGAAGATGTAAAAATTTTATTTGATTCTACTACTTATATAGTCTTCTATATTGAAAAAAATGATATACCACATCTTATTTCCTAAAGGATAAAAAGAAAATATTAGTGTCATATGCCAAGACAAATAAACTCTTTTGCAGGCATATTAGTTAACCTTTGTAGGGAGAAATACTTCCTCCTTTCCTGACACATGGCATAATCCACAATGTTGCTCTTGAGTCTCGCCTCCTATACATGCAAAATTAGTTCTGACAAAAATTTTATTCTTGAAAGAGATGATACTTGTTTTACTAGTTAAACCAATTAAATTATCTTCTACTCAGAACTAACCAACTAAAATTTAAAATTCTATTAAAAAATTAAAAGTTTTCTTATTCAATCACTAATCTAATAAATGCTAAAAAAAAATTCAAATTTTATTAAGTTTTTACTAAATTTTTTACTTTCAAAATTTTAAAATTCTTTCACGATTTAATTCCATTACAAACTCTTCAAAAATTTGGATAGAAGATTAATAGATAACAAATTTGTATAGTTTTAAAAATAAAAGACTTCATTGACATAAAAAAAACGTGAAAAGCTAATCAAAATTATGTTAATTTTTTTTAATTCTAATCAAGTTTAGAGCAAATACTTAGTTAGCTGGAGAGAATGAGAAAATAAAATAAAAATATTAAATAAATGTTAACAGCGTACTAGTGTATAAAAACGAAATTAGTAAAAAAAAACTGAGACAGCGGAGTTAATTTGACGCCATCCTAAAATGATGTTTTTGGGCAGTTCCCAATTCAGCAATGGGAGCAAGTCATAAATTGAAATATGATGATGGAAAGAAGCATTGTGAGGATGGGATTGGTCTAAAACTAAGTGTCACTCTGTTAAGTTACAAATCACACCCTATTCCCCAACTTGCTGAAAGTCCCATTCTTGCCTACCACTAAACCATGTTCATTCATTATATTTTGAATTGACATTTTCAAAACACCAATCAGTTCTTATATGGCATATCTTTTAACTTGAAATTTGGTTTCTTTTCACCATAAATAATGCTACAAAAATGGAAGACCGAGGTCAACGTAGCATTAGATTCAAACTTTGAAACTGAGCCATTTGATTAGATGGAAATAGCCCAGACTTTAGCTTAAAAGAAATCAAGTAAACTTATGAAAATGACTTATTTAAAATTTATAATAATATATTAAATAATATTTTATAAAAATTATAATATATTAAATTTCAACTGTAGAATTAGAATTTATGTTTAGTACTAGAGATAGAGTTATTAATAAATATTGTTCTCTTAATAAATATTATTTTCGTTTGAAAAAGGATTTTATTGAAACATTAATTTGTGGTGGAGATTGGTTTCATCACATGTATGATTTGACGAGAAAATCAAAGATTACTCTAAAAGTATTTTTAAGAAATATTTGTAATTATTATTTTTAAAGTATTTTTATTCTAATAATATTTTTTTTTTATTTTGAAGGTTGATGAACAATATGAAGAGATCTCTTTAAAGCAGATGATATATTTGTTGTTTTTCATTTACTATAAAAAAAATATTATTGCTTGTATTTTTTAGATTTTTGTTTGTTGTATTTGTTAATTTTTTAGGTCTAAAATTTATTTAATTATATTATGTTTGTTGATTTAATATTTAAGATTTTATGCTATTACATTTATTTAATGATTTATAAATTAATATTTATTTTATTATATTTTTTTATATGTGTAGTGATTTATTTATTTAAATTAAATATATGGTTCAAAAGTGATAAATATGAATATATAATTTTGTTTTACATATTTAAAATGTTGAATCATTTTTAATAGTTTATTTAGATATATAACTTTTAAAAATACATATATATTTAGATGACTTAATAACCTATATATAAGAAAATTTAATGACGTATTGAATGTCTCAATATGAAGTAGGTCATTAAAAAGACTAATAGAACAAATCAGATTTTTAAGAAGGTTAAACTAGGCTTAATAAAAAATTTACAATAAGTAATAGACCAAGCCAAATTTATTTACCAGACCAAACTTATTTATACAAAGTCTAACATAACTTAACCTATTTCCATTCCTATATGTTATCACTGACTAAAACAAATATGGAGAGAAATTGTTCTAGTACCTCCATGTAGATCATTGTTAAGTTTTGTGGTACATAAAAAATTACTGAGTTTTTTTTTTATAGGTTTAAATATTTTTTATCCAAATTCTAAGCAATAAAAACTCATTTTTATATGCATTAATCATTAATTTTTTATACATTTATTTATGATAGAATTTGTGTTAACAAGAAAACTCACTCGTTATTCGGATAAGTGGATATATTTGCTGATTTATTATATTTGACTATTATAAATTTATAATATATAACTGGTTTTTATTAATTTTGATGAATAAGTTATTTGAATTGGAGACAACAAGGAACTGTACCTTGTCTAGTCTTATTACATGCTCATATTTTTAACTTCGTGCGAGTTTAGAGACAAGTTAGAAATCTAACCCAGAATTTACTGCTGGTAGTGCTGAAGTAAACGGGATCCACCTGCATTTTAACATGAACCAAGCATGAAATTAGTCCATGAATAAAATAAGCATAGGCAATACCTACTTAGCACAAGATAACAGTGGATCTAAACCTTTTCACTAGTCTTACTGCTTTCTCATGGCAGTGCCATATGCAACTAAAATTCTGCTCTTGATTTTGTCCATTGTAACAACTATCCACTTCTATGCATGCAATGCAGAAGGGTTTAACAAAACTTGCAGCGAGAAAGAAAGAAACGCACTCCTCAGATTCAAGCATGGACTAGAAGACCCTTCAAACAGGTTCTCATCATGGTCTGATGAAGGGGATTGTTGTACATGGCTAGGGGTTCATTGCAACAACATCACTGGTGAAGTCATGGAACTGAATCTTAGCACACCTGTGGACACTCCCTATAGGGAGTTGAGCGGTGAGATTAGTCCTTCCTTGCTAGAACTAAAATCTTTGATGCTTTTGGACTTGAGTTCTAATTATTTTGTTCATACTCCAATACCAAACTTCCTTGGCTCAATGGAGAGCCTAAGATACTTGGACCTTAGCATCAGTGGGTTCAAGGGACTAATCCCTCCTCAGGTAGGGAATCTATCAAACCTGCAATACCTTAATCTTGGGTACAATTATGCTCTTCATATTGATAACCTTAATTGGATATCAAGGCTTTCCTCCTTAGAGTACCTTGATTTGGGTGGTGTAGACATTCATAAAGAAGCTGCTTGGCTTCAAGTACTAGGCACAGTTCCTTTTCTTGAAGAATTACACTTGGAGAACTGTCAAATTGATAATTTAAGACCACCAAAAGAGAAAACCAACTTCACACACCTCCAAGTTCTTGATTTTTCAAATAACAATCTCAATCAAGAAATCCCTTCATGGCTTTCAAACCTCAGTACTACTCTTGTCCAATTGGATATGCGCAGCAATTTTCTACAGGGAGAAATCCCACAAATCATATCAAGCCTTCAGAACATAAAAACTCTAGACCTGCAGGGCAACCAACTCAGTGGAGCACTGCCAAATTCATTAGGCCAGCTTAAGCATCTTGAAGTTCTAGATCTCAGTAATAATACCTTTATTTGTCCTATTCCCTCATCATTCGCAAATTTATCATCCTTGAGGAAGCTAAATCTTTTTCATAACCAACTCAATGGAACTATTCCTAAGAGTTTTGGATTCCTCAAAAACCTGGAGGCATTAAATATTGCAGCTAATTCTCTGACTGGTGGTATGCCTGTAAGTCTTGGAATTCGCTCAAATTTAGTAACATTAGACCTTTCATCTAATTTGCTGGAAGGATCAATACAGGAATTAAATCTTGCAAAACTTTCAAAATTAAAGGAACTACGTTTGTCTTCAACAAACCTGTTTCTCAGTGTCAACTCGAGTTGGGTTCCTCCTTTTCAACTTGAATATATTTTACTCAGCTCCTGTGGAGTAGGGCCTAGGTTCCCAGCATGGCTACAAATGCAAAGTTCCATCAAGGTGTTGGCAATGTCCAAGGCAGGTATTTCAGACATGGTTCCAAGTTGGTTTTGGAAATGGAGTTTGCAAATTGAATTCCTGGATCTATCTAACAATCTCATTAGTGGAGACCTATCAAATGCCTTCCTTAACTCGAGCATCATAAATCTGAGTTCTAATCTATTCAAGGGTAGATTCCCAAGTGTGTCTGCAAATGTTGAAGTGTTGAATATTGCAAATAACTCAATTTATGGACCAATTTCTTCCTTTTTATGTGAAAGAATGAATGGTACAAATAAGTTAACTGTGCTTGATGTTTCAAATAATGTCTTATCTGGTGATCTTGGTCACTGTTGGATGCATTGGCAAGCTTTAATGCATTTGAACTTGGGTAGAAACAATTTGTCCGGTGAAATTCCAAACTCTGTTGGGTATTTATCTGAACTTGTGTCTTTGTTGTTAGACAACAACAACTTTTCTGGATATATTCCTTCAACTCTTCAAAATTGCTCCATGCTGAAGTTCATTGACATGGGTAATAACCAACTTTCTGACACACTACCAGCTTGGATGTGGGAAATGCAATTTCTAATGGTTCTTCGTCTAAGATCCAATAAGTTCAAAGGGATTATTACTCAAAAGATGTGTCAACTTTCTTCCCTTATTGTGCTGGATCTTGCCAACAATAGCCTCTCAGGATCCGTTCCAAATTGTTTGGATAACATGAAGGCAATGGCAGGTGAAGATGACTTCTATTCTAACCCTTTAGGATATTCCTATGGCTTTGACTTCAACTATAACAACTACAAAGAAAGTCTTGTCTTAGTTCCCAAAGGAGATGAGCTAGAGTACAAAGACAACTTGATACTTGTAAGAATGATTGACCTTTCAAGTAATAAGCTGTTTGGAGCTATTCCTTCTGAAATTTCCAAGCTAACTGCTTTAAGGTTTTTGAACTTGTCTAAAAACCATCTATCTGGAGAAATACCAAAAGACATGGGAAGCATGAAATTGTTAGAGGCCCTTGATCTCTCACTAAACCACATTTCTGGTGAAATTCCCCAAAGCTTATCTGATTTGTCCTTTCTCAGTTTCCTGAACATATCATACAACAACTTATCAGGCAGAATTCCCACAAGCACTCAACTTCAGAGCTTTGAAGCACTTAGCTATACAGGTAATCCTGAACTTTGTGGTCCTCCTGTGACTAGTAATTGCACAAGCAATGAAAAGGTACTGGATAGTGCTTATGTTGGACATGAAAATTTCTTCGAAACATCAGAGTTTTATATAGGAATGGGAGTTGGATTTGCAGCAGGATTTTGGGGTGTTTGCAGTGTTATTTTCTTCAACAGAACATGGAGGCATGCTTGTTTTCATTTTCTTTACCACTTGAAAGATTTGATTTATGTGACCATAGTTTTGAAGGTAAGAAGGTTACTTGCTAAATTATGAGCTTAGCTGCTAAGAAGCGAGAGGCATCCCAAGGTGCTATTCTGGCCACTAATAATGTATGTAGAAAGGTATACCTTCTAATCTGTGCATATGGTGTGTTCTTTTTGTCTACTTGCTTTCATTTGTTAGAAAAGTTCTTGATGTATTGGTGAATGACTAAGAGATTCATAATTACACCATACTTTAGCCACATCAACCATATGGGTCATCCTCTTCTACTATAAATAGACTATAGACTAGCAATATAATGATTAACATTAAAATTAGCTGCGATCATGGAAGATTTGTATTGCACAAGATAAAGATATAGCTCAAGTTTGTAGAACTACTTAAAAAATACATAATAAAAACAGCTTATAACTTTTGAAAGCTGATTTTTTTAAGAAGTTACTTTAAAAAATATTTAACTTTTAAAAGTTAAGTACCAACATTTTGATTACATTTTTATTCTTTATTTTTTGAGAGGACAATTTATCATTTACATAATTAAAATCTAGTATATTAATTTTATTGTCATTTTTCTTTTCTCTTTCTTTTTTCTTTTCTCTATTTTTTCATCTTTTATTAATAATAATTAATAGTATATTTTGTTAGATAAAAATAAATTAAATAAATAATAATATTTTTAAAACAATAAAATAAATTATTTAAAATCAATTCATGTAATCTTTATTAATATAACATGTTAAAGTTAATAATTTTAAAAATAAATTTAAGTTATTATTTAAAAATTAATAATATCATTTTTATTAATAAGATGTGTTAAAATAAATTATATATAATTTTAATTATATTACATATTTTTTTAAGTCATTTAACATAAATAAGTTAGTTATATACTTAATTTTTCAAATAATTTAATTTCATAAATTACTTATATAGCTTATAAATTTTCAATTAAAGGTCTAAAATTTTTCACAATTATAAATTTCAAGCTCACGTTTTTTTAAATACAGCGTAAGAATTCTTGTGAATGAATTTAGTTTGGAATTATTGGAGTTTGCATTGGTTTCTGCAGCATCTAAATCAGTCCACAACTTCCTTTTCCCCCTTTTCCATACTTTGCTAATTGCTATGTTCTTCATTCCCATTCCGTCAAGAGTACTTTGCAAATTCTTTTATAAAAACATTGAATGGCGTCATTTTATTAATTTAAAACATCTTCACTTGATAAATCATAATTTATTAACTTTTGGAAATCATGACCGATTAATGGTTTAATTTATGACACTACCCTTATGGTTATGGATTTCCTCACACCTCACCTTAAAAGCTATGCCTATAATTCACTCTAAATGTACGTGTGTGAGAGAGACACACACAAAATGCTCATAAAAATCAATCCAAAACAACACCAACTAAAAACTACAATGATTTAAGATTTTGAAACCCAATAGCATCAACGGTTTAAAATACATTGCAAGTTTTCAACATGATACACTAAAAGGATAATAGATATTAGTAGTAGTTGAGCTAAGCTCAAACAAACCAAATTACAACCAAACTTTCTAATAATCTCTTTCCCTTGTGAGAGGCACCGTTCTATGTTGTGGCCCTTTTATCAATCTCCTGGTTTTTCCCATTTTGTGAATTTCCTTGAGCTGAATACACAAAATGGCACACATAATCAATAAATGCAAAACTTAATATCGCAGCAAACTTCATTAATTGTTTCGTAAAAAATTACTTTTTTTATGTTAAATTTTTCTTTTGTAGGCCATAGTATTATACTTTTCCAAGTTATATCTCATTAATTTGTATCAATTTTTAGATATTGTATTAAAAATATAATTTTTATTTAGCTTTTTATTGACAAAATTTCATTAATTTACCTAAGACAAAGTTAATTTTTTTTCTTGAGATTACTTAGACAAACTTAATTCTTTAACTTATGTGTAATTTTACTTTCTTTGATTTTAATTAAGTTCTCACCTCAAAATTTTATCTAATAATAAACAAACTATTAAAACTCAAAAGTGTGCCTATCATTGATTTGTAGCTGAAAAAATGTATAAAATATTTAAATATAAATAAAAAAAATGCAAAATATAATGAATCTTTTTTATTTTATATGTTTTTTTTAATCTATACTAATCAATAATATATCACATCTTTATAATATTTTTGTTAATTATTATATTAAATATTGAGTGAAAAACTTATTTTGATTAATTACAAAGTTGTGAGGATAAAAGTAAGCAATTTAAAGTAGAAAACTAAAATTACAGATAAACTAAAATACAATTAAAATAACCAAAAACAAAAAATGAACACGATTTTAAAAGAATCACTACCAGAAGGACTCGTAGAGGAATTGCCAGAGCCACCACGTTGATTAAAAGCTTGAGCTTCAGGTGATTTATGACCCAAGTGCAGAAGTGCTGCTCAAATAATTTCAAATAGGAATACTTAATACTATAAACCAGACCTCTCAATTATTCTGAACTTTCAGACTTGAAACCTCAGATCATTATTTTTTTTTTCAAAAATGGACTAAAATTAACAGATTTATATGCTCTACTTTTGTCCCCCTTTGAAACACCTGATAATTATTGTGTAACTATATATGTTGCATTATGGATCTATATATACGAATATAAAATACAATATGATACGTAAGCATGATAATTTTTTCTTTTATCAGGAAACGAGCATGATGATATACATTAAGTAAAATTATATTTTATAATAATTATTATCCAAAAATTTTGTCAAGTAAAAGTCTTAAAAGTAAGAAAAAATTCTTAAAAAATTATGACGTATAAAAGTATAATATTATAACAAAATAACATAGCACAACTATCTGAAATAATAATATTTAAATAGGGTGAGACATTAAATTAATTTCTTTTTGTTTTTACTTTATATGACTTCGTATTTTATCTTTCAAAAATATCTTTTAAAATATGCATAGAAAAAAAAAAACCTATTTTTTAGTATTTACATGTAATATAAATACGTTATGATGCATACAGTCTATTTGAAGTTCATGTCCGTCATGCTTAGCTGTCAAAGTTATCAAAGAGTGACAAAAGTTATGAAAAATAATTATTTGATTTAGATTACAATTATTATTTTTATTAAAAAAATAATTGTATTTGAATCCGATAGATCATTAAGGGTAACAAAAATGAAAAATAATTATTTAACCATGGGCATGCAAATATGCAATTTGCAGAGAGAAGTAAGAAATGGAAGGAAAAAATACGAAGAAGAAAAAATAATAAATGTGATGAACATATAATAAAAAGGAAAAAGAGAGATAAAAAACATTGTGAGGACCAATTAGAATATTAAGGGCAAAATTGTAATGAGGCCAACCCAAAAAACACAAGGAAGCTTCCATGGAAATATGAACGATAGCATAGTGGAGCCTTAAGACTCCCAAGCACAGACCAGGGTAGCGGCATCCATGACAAGCAGCAGTTTTCATGAGACACGACATGCAAAGAAACCTTCCCAAGAACGAAGACATGACACCCCAGCTCCCAGCTCTGCAAGGACTAAGTTCGGACACAGCAAGAAGAAGGCCAAGTTGCAGGAGACGCTGCACCTAGAAATGGAAAAAGAGGCTACAGGAAATAATGAAGATATGCGTAAGAGCGGACACACCAATGACGCGTTAGGAGTTGCAATGCTAGGAGGCTTGAGGATCTTTCTCAATGGAGGAGTTATATAGTAAGCACAACTAGTGTAATGGAGGACAAAGAGAAAAGCTTACCCAACGAAAACATTAAGATAAGTGTCTCCAAAATATTATGCATGCATAGCGGGTGTTGTTTAATATTAGCGTCTTGCTGATTAATAAAAGAGAGTCCTTTTAAAACAGCAAAAAAGGGAATTTCTTCCTTAATACAAGCAAAAGTTTTTAGAAGATAAATAACTAAAATTTTAACACTTGCAAGCTGAATGTGAAGAAGCAGGAATGTACAAGTCCTTGAAAATTTTTTGCAATTCATCTTTTACATTGGAACAGTAATATAAAAATATATCGGAAGTGGACTACGAGACCCACCGCATATGACGAAGTGTTTGGTGCAATAACTGAGAGCTGGACGCACGCCACGAGATAAGGCTGAGTGTTCACTGTATGACTCATGAACTTGATGTGAATTGTGCAGACTTACGAAAATTTATCTTGTGAAAGCTTGAAAGTGCAGCAGGGTAGTTTCGTTAAGATACCAGGATTGGTGTTTACTTGCTTGTTGATGAGTTATAGCTTCCTATCAGTGGACAATCAATACTCGGCATGGTTATTTGGCACTCGAGGAATTTTAGGATTTTTTACTTTTGTTTATTCTTGTCATTTTGTTGTTGTGAAAATTATACGACGCAGGTGAAGACTCATATCATGTTCATAGCTGCACCCTTGTTTACAATTCTTTCATTTCTTTGTAATCACAAAATAATAATAATAATAATAATAATAATAATAATAATAATAATAATAATAATAATAATAGTGAATGAATGTGACTTCCTACAAACTCTGCATAACTATGACTGTCAAAAATAAAATAGCAACAAGTCTAGTGTGAAGTTTTAAAACTAATCTAAAGAAGATAACTATCAACTCTTATTTTTACTGCAACTATGACTATTACATATGCATAGGTACAGGAATAATACTATTGAAAATTTGTAGTGGAGTTTTATATAGTTATGGTTGGTCTATGTTTCTGTTGTAGTTATCTTTATTCATTTCAATAGTAAGACTAAGCACTAATTTAGATGAATAGAGAGTTACTAATCTATTGCATTTTATGTCTTAAAAATAAAGGGCCTGTATTGTAAATTACTCACAGCTCTGACCAAGGTTAGACTCTGGTTCATATATGTTGTTGGTGGTCTTCTTCAATGAACATTGAAGTTTTACTTCAACGATGTTTGCAGACCTTTACTGCATGAATTACCAAATAGATGATATCAAGTGGCAATAATACTATTATGGCCACAACATGCGGTGCTGACATACTCAGTACGAGGCTAGCTTTCACCAT